TCCGAGCTCCCGGAGCTTCTGGCGCGTCACTAAAGATGTGTGTGGCCTGGCGTTGTCCTGGTGGAAGACAATTCGGCCTTTGTTGATCAAATATGGCCTCTTCTGCATGAGTGCTGTCTTCAAGCGGTCCAGTTGTTGGCAGTAGAGGTCAGAATTGATGGTTTGGCCATAGGGCAACACTTCATAATGGATAATTCCTCTGATATCCCATCATACACTCAGCAACACCTATTGAGCCGTCAGTACTGGCTTTGCCACCGTTTGAGACGACTGACTGTGCTTCGACCAGGATCTTTTACGCTTTATGTTGTCATATGTGATTCATTTTTCATCACCAGTGACTAACCGATCCAGAAATGAGTCGAGTTTATTACGGTGCAACAAAGATTCGCAGATTGATATACGGTCGAAAAGGTTTACATCGACCTTTTTTGTTAAATTTTTCGACTTTAAGTGTCTATGGACGGTTTCCGTGCTTAGTTGCAGCTCCTCTGCGATGGTTCTAATAGTCGCATGACGATCCCGATCCACTATTTCCATGATTTTATCCGTATCAACGGTCACTGGTCGTCCGGAAGGCTTGGGTGTTTCGGTATCAAAATTGCCACTTCGGAATCGCCTAAACCACTGTTCGGCGGTTTGAATCGAAAGTTTGTTATTTCCTAAGACAGCAATAATCTGTCTGCGATATTCCGCATCAGTTTTTCCCTGTGCGAATTGGCCGAATTTCTGCGTTTGTGAAATCCATTTCAATCGATTGTAATTTTTTAACGTGGAAGCTCATGTAAACAAACCATATGTCATTTTAAAGGTGATGCCAATACCTTTCAAACGATATACAGCATGCCAGATTCGATTATATTTGATATATATCACAAGCGATGCGCGAAATTTGAATGTAAAAACCCGTATGTCATTACCAAACAACCAAAAAATTATAATTTTACGTTTTGAAAAATTTACCTTGATTGAATTTTAAATTGTGTATTTGTCACTTAACCACTATCTCACTTAACTTAACATGATGTGGCTACTCCTCCTGGTGTTCCGGATGTTGTCCTATTTGTTGTTTACTAAGAATCCTGCGACGCACACAAATGGGGGATGTGTTGCGAGCATATCTGCGTAGTCCACCGATTGATTTGGTCCTCAGCTTCTTAACTGGTTTAGAAGGAGTTTCTCTGATTTCGATTTGCTGATTGGGACAGCGGAGTTGCACTTATTAATTTTTCCCCGCATTGGTCCTTAAGAATAGGCTTTTGGAGTTGCACGAAACAATTATTTATCACTGTGCGAACTTAATCGGATTTACTCGCGCTGGTCCTTGTTCGGGCTCCAGTTCATTCCCAAGCAAATGAACACTGAGAAATTATTATCAAGACGTGATCTTTATTCGGAATTCAAATCGGGACTGACATATTCTACTTATTAATACCCTCATCTAAGCGACGTTAACTTTGGCGGCGGCGGCGCTGTCTTAGTTGGCATCGACGTTGGTAAATTTTACTTAGTTTCAGAAAAAGAAAGACCTGCTGACCGGATGTTCATGTTTATGCAATTGATCTTTGAGCTGGTTCTTGACTTTTTCTTATTGAACTTCGATATAGCTTTTGACTTTATGATATTGAACTTCGAGCTGACTCTTGACAAATGTGTTACTATGTTGCAAAGTTGTTCTTAACAATGTTGCAATATTGATATGGTTAACTTATATACTAGGAAGAATGGGGGAGAGCATATAAGGCGAAGTGTCTGATTGCATTCAACTTGGTGAATGCCAGCATCATCATTATCACGGCTCTCCTCAAGCCGACGCACTACCTCCACGTGGTTCTCCCTGGATTCAACATCCGTTGAGTGGCAAACTAAAGCGCGCGACGAACTAGGTTGTGGCGTAGGACCATGGAAAAACAAAATTTCAATGAAAGAAGCAGAAGAAGCCCGGGAACGGGACCGATTTAACGTTGACGACCATGGCAAACGAAAAAGGACAATGATTTAAGAGTATGAACTTGGAATGTACGAACATTGTACAGACCAGGTGCTGATATCACTGCTATCCAGGAAATGCCATGGATAGGACAAGGCGCCAGACTTGCAACGATCCAAATTACTGCCAAATTCTTCAACATCAATCTGATATGCGCGCACGCTCCAACCGAAGAAAAGGACGATGTCACCAAGGAGACTTTCCGTCATTTGGACATACATAAGGCATCGTGGCTCTTTCCCGATGAACTGACCAGAAATCATATCGATCATGTTGTGATCGATGCAAGGCAAGCATTTAGCATACTTGACGTGCGATCCTGTCGGGGTCATCGACTCCGACCATTATCTTGTTGCAGCTAAGATTCGCACACGGTTATGTTTTGCGAAAATTGCACGTCGAGGACTGTTGAGAAGACTGGACATCGGAAAGCTGCAATCATAACAGGCAAGGGATGCATTCTCCACTCTGGACTCTGGCATACTGAACCGAACAACTCCAACACCTGAAGACATCAGCGATCAGTGGGCGCTCATATCCCACTCCCTGCGAACTTCCGCAGAAGAAGTCATTGGATTCTAGCGCACCCCAACAAGGAATCCAAAAGACCCCGCCTACCGAAGAACACTGCAAGTTGAGGCTATACGGGCTGTTGTTGAGGTCTACAGGTTAAGGAGAAGAGATGAGAAACGCCTTTTCAGACGCAAGAAAAGAGAACAGGAAAGGCGAGAGTTTGAAATGAAGCTCGTAACTTCTATCAGTGGGTTAAGCGTCTGACCCAAGGTTGTAAGACTGGAGGAGTTGCATGGAAGGACAATGACGGAAACCTAGTCACAGATGCAGAGATTGTGCTGAAGTTATGGAGGGATCATTTCTCAAGCCTGTTAGCTGGCTCTGGCACGGGCTATGAAGATTATAATTTACAAACCGCAATCTGCGGTACTGATGTAGACGTACCGAACCCAAGCCCAAGCCTGCCGGATGAATTGTTTAAGGCAGCTGGTGATATGTTGGTAGGGAGCAAACTAATTAGCAAGATATGGCGTACGGAAAGCATGCCCGAAGATTGGAAACTGTTCTGTCATAAAGAAGGGTGATGCCACATTACGCACTAATTACCGTGGCATTAGTCTTCATTGGTCTCAGACAAGGTGACTCTCTATCTTGCATGCTCTTCAATATTCTAATGGAGAGTATTGTAAGGAAGGCTGGTGTGCATCGGACAGGCACGATTCTGACAAGCAGATGTATCCAACTCCTTGGTTAAGCTGATGATATTGATATCATTAGCCGAACCAAGCATGATATTACAGCAGCCTTCGGGGCTATTGAAAAGGAGTCGGCTAAAGTAGGACTAGCAGTGAACATGGACAAGACAAAGTTTATGGTGTGCTCAAGCAGAGAATCGCGGCGTCTTGATTCTCAGCTGACTGCAGACAGCTATAGCTTTGAGTCCGTCAAGGAATTCATCTACCTTGGCACTGCTTTAACTAGCACAAATGATGTCAGCCTGGAGGTGTTACTTTGGGTTCAGTAGGCATTTCAACAGTAAAGCTCTCTCTTAACAGGCAAAAATAACACTCTACAAGACGCTCATTCTTCCAGTACTCTTATATGGTGCGGAGTGCTGGACAGTGGTGCAAATTGTGCAACAGGCTGTAACCCGTCAAGGGTTGTGATGGCCAATTATTATTATTATTAACTCATATACTTTATGGGGTCTGAGGTGTCTTCCTTACTGCGTTGCGAACTCTTGACTGAAATTATAATACCCTTTTGCTCTGCAAGGGTATAAAAATCGGACAACTATATCAAATAGCTGCCATAGGAAAACTCGAAAAATATATTTAGATCTAATGGAAATAAACTGATAACGTCGTTGTTTTTTATCACACGACCATGATTTTTTGAGTAATATATATATATACTCTAATCTTGATCAGCATCACGATCGGAATCGAAATACGTCTGCTTTCTGTTTCTCTTTAAACCAGTTCTTCAGTTTTATAGCTATCTTGCTTAAACTTTCCCAAAAGTTGAGTAGTTATTGCACGCAGTATATAAGTCGTAACGGGCCGGATCACGCCGTTGTTTTTGATCGTATCGACTTGATATTTTCCAGATGGTGCTCTTTAACTACTATCGAATTTTGAGTTAAATTTTGTGCAATTTGGATACCTAAGCTGCCATAGGAAAGATCGAAAAATATACCCCCATGAATATACTTTATTGGGTCTGAGGTGTCTCCTTCACTGCGTTGCAAACTACTGACTGGAATTATAATACCCTTAGCTCTGCAAGGGTATAAACTTAGTAACGTCATTGTGTTTTATCCCACGACCATGATTTTTAAGCACCAAGATTTTTAATTACCCTTGAATCGAGAAAAAATTTCATAAAAATCGGACAACTATATCATATAGCTGCTAAAGGAAAGATCAAAAAATCTATATAGAACTGACGGAAATTGATAACATCGTTGTTTTTCATTAGAAAACCTTAATTTTTGGAATCTATAGTTTTGTAATGACTCTCAAATTATAAATTAAATTTCATTAAAATCAGACGACTATATCATAGAGCTGAAATTTTATGAACAATTGAAAATTCAGTAAAAATACCGCAAGACTTTTTTGACAACCTAATATATACTTTATAGGATCGTAAGTGCTTCCATCAATCTGTTTCATACAAAAATACTTTGGTTTTCAGCTTTAACCTCTACGAAAATTTTGCGTCTATGAGTTTACTGGGGAAAATTCGTGGTTGCTTACTGAAACGCCTAAATAAATTAGCTTTTAGGAGTTATTTCAGTTTGGGCTTAACACGTTTCTCCGCAGTCCAAACTTAAACAGAGACGAAAAGGTTAAAGAAATAAAAATTGTTCTTGTAATTTATGGATGTCAGCGAATTCTTGCCATACAATTGTTTATATAATGTTTTTGAATAAAAATATTTAAATTTGCACAAAAAATCTAAATGAACATACAACTTATTTTGTTTGTTACAGCATTTGTGGCTTCTTTGAATTCATCGTACACAAAATGGTATAGCAAAGCTGTCGTTCAAACAAAAAGTGAAGAGATTTTGAATGGAATAGCTGTAATTTTTGAAAATGCTCTACGAATATATCAAAGACGTAATGGTTATTTGCCGGAAAATGTAATTATATACAGGTAATTTTTTATATTCGACTTTACTTTTGTTTTGCTTTGATCATGACGCTACAAATACTATTCTTTAAAATTGGAAAAATATTTTTTATTTAAATATCGGTAAAAAAGTCTGCAACACAGTCAAGATGACATCTCAGACCCCTTAAAGTATATATATTTTTGATTACTATCTGAATCGATCTTGTGTTGCCCTTTGCCCATCTGTCTCCTTCTATGCAAATTTGTTTCTCAGTTTTAAAGTTATCTTGCTGAGACACTACCAAAAGTTGTAAAGTTATTGCACGGATGGGACGACTATATTGTGTAAAAAAATTTAATGAATAAATAATAAATACTAATATCTTTAAAAAATAGAAAAATAGAATAACGCCAAGTGAAAACATTACTGAAGATTGATAGCGAACGCAATTGATGCTCAGACGCAAAAATGGGACACCTTACCTTTTTCTGATGATATAATATTTTTAAATCAATAGCGAATTTCAGATAAAATTTTATTTTTTTAGCTGCCATAGGAAAGATTGGAAAATATATATAGAAATTTTGGCAAACATTATAATTTTGTTTTCATCATTGTTTTCGTCATTGTTTTTATACCCTTGCAGAGCAAAAGGGTATTATAATTTCAGTCAGAAGTTTGCAACGCAGTGAAGGAGACACCTCAGACCCCATAAAGTATATATATTCTTGATCAGCATCACGATCAGAATCCAAATATGCATGTACGTCTGTCCATCTGTCCGTCTGTCCGTTTCCGCGCAAACTAGTCTCTCAGTTTTGAAGCTATCTTGATGAAACTTTCCCAAAAGGTGTGTAGTTATTGCACGCAGTATATAAGTCGGAACGAGCCGGATCGGCCGACTATATCGGATAGCTCCCATATGAGAGAATGAAATAAAAAATTCTCACGCCGTTGTTTTTGATCAGATCGACTTGAATTCTTCAAGATGGCGTTTTCTAACTGTTATTGAATTTCGGATTAAATTTGATCAAAATCGGATAACTCTATCATATAGCTGCCATAGGAGAGATCGAAAATTATATATAGAATTAATGGAAATAAATTGATAACATCGTTGTTTTTTATCCCACGAGCATGATTTTTTGAATATCAAGTTTTTTAACAACGTTTATATTGGAAAAAAGTTTCATAAAAATCGGTCATCTATATCTTATAGCTGCCATAGGAAAGATCGAAAAATCTATATAGAAATAACGGAAATAAAATTATAACATCGTTGGTTTTTATTTGATAAGCATGACTTTTGAAATTTAAAGTTTTCGAACGACTCTTGAATTACGAATTAAATTTGATGAAAATCGGACAACTATATCATATAGCTCCCATATGATCTATAGTCGAAAATATGGAAAATGAATAGAAAAATCGTCTTAGCTTCGATGTTGTTTAGCCTTTATGTATTTTTTCGACATATTTGACGACTGCAAGGGTATATAAGCTTCGGCTTGCCGAAGCTTGCTTCCTTTCTTGTTTAATCATGATTTTTAGATTTTATCATAAAAACATGACAACAATATCATATAGCTACCGTCGGAAATATCTATATAGAATGAAAGGAAATAAATGGAACAAATTATAACATCGTTGATTTTCATCAGATAAGCATAATTTTTAGAGTATGAAGTTTACTATTAACTCTCGAATTTCTAATTAAATTTTATTAAAATCGGACGACTAAACCATATATGTATGTAGCTGTCATATGAACAATCGTCGAAAATATAGAAATTGAATAGAAAAATCGTCATAACTTCGATTTTGTTTAGACGTTATACATTTTGTTAGATATATTTGATGACTGCAAGGGTATTTTAATATTATTTGAGGGAACGTAAGAATCTTACGTAACTTGGCGAAAAGCAGCTGTGGCCGCCTACCAGACGATATGATGGCAGTTCCCGCCACTATCAAGCAGTCATAATTATTAGGAGTAAATTCAGGGGCCCCGCTGATGCCGTGCTATCTTCATTTGGGTTTGTATTGAATTTCGACGAGATTATAAATCGCTTGGACTTCACATACAGTGACAAGCGACCGATGCACGTCATCGAGCAAGAGCTAGGCACCCTTAGACAGGGTGGCCTAACCTTGTTACAGTACTATGATGAGCTTGAGAAAAAACTCACCTTATTAACAAACAAGGTCAATATGACATACGAAGCAGCTACGGCTAAAGTACTTTGCGATAAATTCCGTGAGGCTCTGCCATATATAACATCAGTAGTAGCCACTATTAGGCATCTGAAGATGTGATGCTAATATACCCCGAAAACAAGAAGGCGTTTGATCTAACGGTATTTTGCGGTATCGGAATCCAATCGGAATGCAAAAATCAAAAGGTGGAAAGCTCGCATTGCCGAGTCCGGTGCGCGTATTTATTACAAACCTGGTAAAAAAAATCTTGTTGCCGATGCACTTTCTCGGCAGCAAATAAATGTCATAGCCACTACACACAGCGAACTCTTCCTGACCCACACAATAGAAACAACGGATAAGCCCTTGAACTGCTTTCAAAACAAAATAACTTTGGAGGAAGCACGCTCTCCGTTAAAACGCAGCTTTGTACTCTTTGAAAACAAGAGACGACACGCTGTAAAATTTTTCTGCAAAGAGTCATTACTCGATGAAATCGCAGACTTTATAGTTCCTAAAGGCGTAAACGCCATCCATTGTGACTTGCACGCGCTCGCAATTATACAGGACGAGCTGGTTCGCCAATTCCCAGCCACAAAAATTTGGAATTGCAAAAATCGCGTGACAGATATTTTTGCAGTCGCCGAGAGACGGGAAATATTGACTGCCGATCACAATAGGGCACACAGATCGGCAAAGGAAAATGTCAAACAAGTACTCTCCGGATATTATTTTCCCAAAATGACAAAATTAGCCAACGAAATCGTCCAAAGCTGCAAGACCTGCGCAAGGGCGAAATATGATAGGCATCCGAAGAAACAGGAAACCGGCGAGTCGCCGATCCCTTCGTATGCAGGGGAGATTTTGCACATCGATATCTTCTCAACCGATAGAAAATATTTCCTGACTTGCATCGATAAGTTTTCAAATTTCGCAGTCGTGCAACCTATTAAATCTAGAACGATTGAGGATTTCAAACTGGCACAGTTGCAGCTAATGAAATATTTTCCAAGACCCAAAATGATGTATTGTGACAATGAACCGTCATTGAATTCGCATACGATCTCGGCAATGCTGACTAACCACTTTTGAGTTAGTATCGCAAATGCACCACCCTCACATAGTGTATCGAACGGACAGGTGGAACGATTTCTCAGCACCCTGCTGGAACTCGCGAGGTGCATTAAAATCGACAAAGTTATAACAGACACCGTTGAGTTAATTTTACTGGACACTACCGGGTACAACAAGTCAATTCATTCGGTCATTGACAAAAGACTAGCTGACGTTGTGCAGTCGAACTCGGATAAGTTACAAATAGAAATCCGAGAAAAAATAGGAAGTGCCCAGAACGCGCTAAGAAACCGGGAAAACGGCAGAATAGGGTCTTAGAAGTTGGTGAAAAAGTATTGGTAAAATCCAACAGAAGGCTAGGAAATAAACTCATACCCTTGTGTGAGGAGAGAGCCGTAGAAGTGGACCACGGTCCTTATTAAGGGGAGGATGGTCCGCAAGGACAATCTTAAATGATACGACCGAACAAAGTCCTTTGCGTTTTTTAAGTCATTTTTTGTTACACTTTAAAGCCACTTGGCGCAAGTTCATACTAATTATAAGGTTCATTGCCATTAGCATTTTATACCCTTGCAGAGCAAAGGAGACTCCTCAGACCCCAAGAAGTTTATATAATATATTCTTGATCAGCATGACTGAATTGAAATACGTCTATCTGTCTGTCCGTTTCTCTTCAAACTCTAGTCTCTCAGTTTTAAAGCTATCTTGCTCTCATATAAGAGAATGAAATACAAAATGTTCACTCAGATCGACTTGATTTCTTCCAGATGCATTTTCTAACTACTAATGAATTTCGGATTAAATTTTATTAAAATCGAATAACTCTACCATTACTTTTTAAATTTCATCAAAATCGGACAACTATGTCATATAGCTGTCCTATGAAGAATAGTCAAAAATATGGAAAATTAATAGAAAAACGTCATTGCTTCGATGTTGTTTAGCCTTTATGTATTTTGTTCAAAATCTTTGATGACTGCAAGGGTATATAAACTTCGGCTTGCCGAAGCTAGCTTCTTTTCTTGTTTTGTTTTAAGTTTATTTTATTGGTGGTGGGAACCTCCCCATAAACAAGAAATAGCTAAAGTTGAATTCCACAGGTTCGGACCCATACGTTGTCTATTCCTATTCTTGGCGTTGGCTCATATTACTGATTATTCGCAGGCCAAGTACACCCCCATCGTTGATGGTGCAATCCTAGTACGGGAGGAGTTCGCATTCGTCACGCACACAGCGAAGCTCTCAGAATATGTGCGTGAATAAAGGAAACAAACAACATGATCGACATGTTTCCCCTATCCCGCATGAAGAAGCTCCTAAGCGTAGATACCGCTCGCCTCCAGGACTTGTAGGAGTCGTTGGGCGTTCATCATAGAGTAGTTAGGAGTTTAGATTTCTTAGGATCGATGCTTAAGGTCGTATAAGGACACCGGGTGCCGGTGACTTAGAAAAAAAATCAGATTTATTGAAATGAAATTGGTTGAGTCGAGCAATAGGCAAATTCTAATCAACTTGCTAGAAATAGAATGCTGATGAGATATTTACAAAATGTAATGCTTGTTTTTCTAAAATTAATATTGTTAGTCCGAATATTTTAGATCACGAAGACTTAAAATCAGTTTGACTTGAGGAAACCACCAACCCACCCATAGGAGATTTTTTGTCTGTCTCCCCTGTCTAACCCTGTAATATAATCTTCCTAATTCGACAGAGAATACTGGAACCCAAAAACAACCATCCTCTACGTCAGACGGACATCGCCCAGGAGGAA